TAATTAATCAGTATATTTTTAGCATTAGTGACTGCGACCACAAAATTTTGTAGAAAAGCAAATTTTAAGTACTCCGTACATTATAAGAGATTATACACAAATTATTAGAGTAATTTATGTCTGAATTGGGTTTGGAGGATCTTTTTAAGTTTTTTAGCTTCATGCCTCCTTGTTAATTGAGAAAGCTCAGTCCTACTTTTACATTGCAATGTCTTTTTTAATTGGATCGAAGACCTTTTAATTTTGTCTTCTTTATTGAATTAATCTACTTTTTCTGATCTGGTTTCATTTGGTGTCGGCTGAACTAGTCCAATTTGATCTGGTAAAAATCTAATACGAAGTATAAGTTTATTTATTGCTATTGAATAAATCTATTAGATGGTAATAAGTACTTATAAATATAAGTTTGTTTATTGCTGTTGAATCAATCTGATCTGATTTGTCTAAGATGAAATTAGTCTAATTAAAATATCCTTTTAGAGAGCGCTTTTATTTAACTTTGCTATGGTTTAGTCTGGTCTGAATTGATCTGGTACGGTCTGGTAGATATCTGGTCTTGAGTATTTTTAAATTCGAGGTCCGGTCTAATCTATTTAAGTTTGGTCTGATCTGGTCTAGTCTGATCCGGTCTATTTAAGTCGAATCTAATATATTTTGGTGTAATTTGGTATGCAATTGAAACTATTTCAAAACTTCTAAGTAATTATCCCATTTAAAGATCCGCGTACTTTTTCCATTACTTTGATTCCTTGCATGCCAAATTAAAAGGGCAAGGTACTACCATTAGTCCATTACTTAAATCAGTTCTACTACTTAAATCAGTTCTACTATGTAACTACCTTAGAGCATCTCCAATGCAAGGGTGTGGTCTCTTACACACCCTTACACATGGGTCCCATTTTTTATCTCACAAATTTTATGTGTAGGACCCACATATTTCCCAATTTATTTTCATTTTCATTTTTTTATATCACTTTTAACCCACTTTTCATCAACTTTTCCTCCTCGAATCCCGTGTAAGGTCCATATATGGACCTTGTCATAGACCTTGGTCCATTTTTACCTCTATCTCTCTCCTCTTTTTCATTTTTCCCTACACACCACTTCATCCCAATATTTATTCTATCTCTATCTCTCTCCTATGCCACATCAGATGCAATGCACCCTCCCATTGGAGATGCTCTTAGAGAGAGTATTAGCTTTTTTTAGTGGACACCACTATTCATTTTAATTATCATTGTCCCTTTAGTTTATACGGAGTACTCCGTAAATTTTACCGCTTACGAATATTTCAATGACCCTTATTGCTTTCCACGAGTAATTCTAAAACAGAGGATCGAGTTGAAAACTTGAAAACCCTACCTCTCTGCTTCACCGAAGCTGCAAGCGGCAGCATCTGCAATTGACAAGAACCGGCCGAAGAGAGCTGCTACTAAATCTCTTTTGCCATGAACAGCGCGAAGATATTTTCTTGCATCGAGCTGCTTGGCAGATCGGTATTCATCTTTTCATTCAAGCTTCTTCATCTCTATTTCATCGGATTCTTTGTCGGTTTAGCTTTAATCCCTAAATGTTTCATCAATTAAATTTGACTGATTTCTTAAATGCCTAATTTTCTAACATTTAACTAGGTCTTACTGGGATTGGCTGGTATTATTACTTTACTTTTGAGGCGCTAATGATTTTTTATTTGTTAATTAATTAGATCGTATGAGTTTACGAGTTTACGATCCTTGTTTGCTTCTCAATTCAGACTCAAGGAAAGTAAAGTTCGCAAATTTTCCAAAAATTGTGAAGCTGCAAAGGATACTATGGCAAATTGGCAAGCACAAATAAGTACTTAGTTCAAGTGTCCACGTTATGATGACAACATGTAAGGGTGCTCATTACTTGAAATTTAAATTGAGATATTGTTTCAAATGTGTTTCAAATTCTAGATTTCAAAATTCAGCTGTGTTATGTCTTTATCTTTTTCAGTTTTATCAAGTCACTTGCTGCTCTAACATGATTATTGGCTTAGTGCTACTTTCCTTTGATAATATATTGCCCTTTTATTTTGGAGTTTTCTCACAGATGGAATGTGTTAGAGTCAAAGGTCTTGTTTATTTTGGGTTTATATTCATCTTGAACATGGATACACAATATGGTCAGACACTATGATTGTTCAACTTAAATTCATATGAAGTAGTATTTACATTTACTGAATGGAAAAATGCTCTACCTCTTGGATATTTTGGCTATTTTATTTTAGACCTAATAACTTATGAGAAATTCCATTAATTGCTTACATAGTTACATTATTTATGTTAATTACTTTTAGTTGAGAAAAACTACTAATTTACTATTTATAATATGGCAGGTGAATGTGGAGCACAAATATGCACATACAGACAAAGAAGATGAGTGACCTCCCACATTAGCTTGAGCTTCATATTATGGAGTTTTTGACTAGTTCTGGATTAGTTTTACGAGAAAGTTACTCAATGTAATCAAAATGTTGAATGATTGAAACTTCATTGTCATTTCATGTTATATATAAATAAAATATTAATGTGGATGATTCATTTGCTTTTCCCTCATTTGTTATTGCATCTTAAAAGTAATATATTATGTGAATGAAGTATCTGCATCTAATTCACGACAGAGTCCTTTGACAATATGAGGCAATATAGTAAGGTTATGACTAAATGCACATTTTTAGTGTCAACGCATGGTTGTTATTTGGCTCTAATAGGGATGCTTCTAATAATATTTTGACCTAACATAATATGGTTGCCTCTAATGCTACTTTGAGGCGAAAGACTATGGTTGTTTCTAAATATATCTTTTTAGAAGCAAAATAATTTTAGCCTCTAAAGGGTGCTTTTAGAGGCAACCATCATTTTGCGACGGACTATTTGTTGGCAACCACTAAAGTGCCTCCAAAAAGCATTAGAGGCTACTTTGCTATGTTTAGGGGCAATTATGATATGCCTCTATAAATCAATTTTAATGTAGTGTAAGGTCATATTTCGGATGCTCTGTCTGGCCGACGCCATTTGGGGCGGTTCCCGATGGAATTTTTTGATGAAATTTTTTGAGCATCTTCCTCATTAAGTCTAGTTTACCCATACCAAATTTCAGCTAAAAATTCAACCGGGAAGGTAGTCAAATAATTTTCCGAAATGTACGGCGTTGTTTAACTTCACAGTTATCTTCAAAAACTCATTTGACTACCTTCCCGGTTGAGTTTTTAGCTGAGATTTGGTATGGGTAAACTAGACTTAATGAGGAAGATGCTCAAAAAATTTTATCAAAAAATTCCATCGGGAACCGCCCCAAATGGCGTCGGCCAGACAGAGCATCCGAAATATGACCTTATTTGACATTTTTTTTCGAGTTCGAGGTCCTATCTGACCCTTATCCCTTCTTAAAATAATACACTATTACAACTACTTTTTTTTTGAATTTATCCTACATTCCACCACATTATTCCACTATTTTCCCATCATACCCTCAATAATTCATATCATCTTTCACTATTCTTAATCTACCTACTTTTGAAATGTGAAGATTTTAAAGTTACGGAGGGAGTATTAAGGAAATAAATTTGACTTTACCGTAGCTGACACTGGTTGACACTGTTTGGACAAAGTTTGACACTGTTTGGCACTATTTGGTGTAGATTTGTAAGGCAAATAAGGAAGTGTAAAGTTGATTCTGGTACTGACAAAAAAGGAAAGTGTAAAGAAGAATTTGAACCGGAGGGAGTATTGTGTTTCTTACCTTTGTGGACATCGCGTGTGTTTTCCGCACTGGGGAGGAGTTCGCATATTATACATCTCGTTGTACGGTGAGCACCGTACAGTCGGCCCAAGGAAAAAAAAGCAAAACTAATTGATGGCAATTTTGTAATTAATATGAAAATCACGGTTTCTGCTAAATGAGTATTAGTGTACTATTAGTGAGCAATTGGTCAGTTTTAATGAGTATTAAGAATCTAGTAATGAACACCGTGTTATTACAAGAAAGCTGATATCACAATTAAAAAACAGTGACATTTTAGTAATTTCAGTGAAAATCGCGGTTTTTCATTAGATGGGCATTAATACACTTTTAATGAGCATCAATGTATTCTATTGAGCATTAAGAGTCGAACAACGAGTATTGTGATATCAACTTCATATACTATAATTCACTTTCTTTTCCTTATTTTTTCTTTTATAAAAACTCATTAAATTATATCTATAATCAATTCCTATGAATTTCAATATGTGAATCTAATGTAATACTATCGGTATGATATTTTTGAAATATGTAATTTTATGACATTTTAAAAATGAGTGCATCAGTACCAACTGAACATACGTAATGTACAAATGAGCATTGATATGAAAATCGTAAGTTATGTTAGTTGATCATCAACACCTCTCTATTGAGTATTCGGATCATGCAATTTAGTATAATGATTTGTGCTCTCGTGTCTATAATCAAATCTTATGCGAGTGTAATATAAAATGATACTTTTTAAATATGCTTTTACATGACATTTTAAAAATGAGCATAACATCAGTACCGATTGAGCATATGTAACTTACAAAATACGCATTAATATGAAAATAATAGGCTTTGTCAGTTGAACATCAAGACATTTTTCATTAAGCATTAAACACAATCTATTGAATGGTAGAAGCGTGCAATTGAGTACCGATTGAGCATTCGTAAATTACAAAATGAGCAAGAGTATGAAAATCATAAGTTTTTGAATTGAGAGCATCAAGACATTTTCATTGAGTATCAAATTTTCTCTATTAAATACGTAGTATTAGAAACATGCAATTGAGTATCATGGATTGTTCTCTCGTATCTATAATTAACAAAATAAGATAACTTTAAATTAAAAATAATTTGTACTCGTGGTATTTTGTTCTTGAATTATAAATAAATATCGTGGTGTTTTTATGATATTTTACTCATGCTCATTTATTTTGCACTATACTCATTGTAATATAACACAAAAATAGAAGAACAACTCATTAATACCATAAATGTTTTATAATGCAAAAATTAGAAAAACTTAAATTAGAAGTTTGATTGGCAAAAGAAGAAAAAACAAACTCGAACATTAACAAAAATATTTTAGATTGTACATTTGCATAACAATTGAAAAAAAAATTAAAGCAAGTTAACAAGGGAGGATGAAGAGAGAGAATCTCCTCCATCTCTCTAGAATTCCAGGATATTGATTTGCTGAAATGGAATTCCGGCAACATCACCGCCGGATTCCAAATCCTTTCAACTACGAACATAGGCTCTACACTGAAGAGCACCTTCCTAGAAACTATCCTCGTTATTGGCATCACAATGGGAACAGGAGCTGTAACAGGGGAAATAAGGCCTCCTACGCACTGCTATGCTCGTCGTCCCTGTCACAAAGCATGCGACTGCAACACCACAAAGTTGAAACAACCCGGTTAGTTGATAATCCTAATCGATTCATTTTGCTTGAACCTGAAGACGACTATGCCTATTATCACACAGAAGAGTCTTACAAAGAACAGACACATCCCTACAATCCATTCCAGAATACTTACAATCACAGAGACGATTCTCGTCGCTCTAGAAGTCTGGCTCTGCCTCGCCGACTATCTCACCTGTGCCGCCGGCGCCGGAAATGGAGAAGCTGATAGGGCTCCTTCGGTAGGGACACTTACAAAGGAAGCCAGTCTCGGGGGTCAACCTGCGAGTCAGACCCAGACTAATACTTCCAAATCGCTCACATGGGCTGATAAGGCTTCTACCGCTAACAGAGATGGTTGATTTATTTCGGAGTGACAAGGAAAAAACCCACGAGGCCCACGCTACGCCTCAACTCTTAGCTGCAAGAGCCACAATAGATAATGAAATCACTTTGATTAATGATATTATCTCACATATAGATATTATCCAGTCAGCTTCAACGATCACTTCTCAAGACTCTGAAAAATTCCACTTCTTTGGAGAAGAAGGATTTGACTCTTTGGAGAAGAAGGATTTGACTCTATCAAATTGGAATCTAAAATCTATAAGTTTGGAATTAGAAACAATGAAATTGCAATATTTGAGATCAAGAGGTCTCAATTGCATAGGATTAGCTTCGATCTTGAATTGGCTCCTCAAATTAGCAGTTTTATTTATGAGCTCACATGAATCGACCTCTCCTACCGGCAACTAAGGAGATTTGGGCCTGTCTCGGTATCTTCAAATTTCAATAAAGCAGGCGGCTACATAAAAATTGCCAAACAAGAAGGAAATTTCATTTTAATTCTGGCGGGCCCGCAAAAATCAAGACTGCTTGAATTTTTGGCAATCATTTCTAATTTCGTGGGAATTTCTGGTTTTATACAGGAGGAACCTATACATCGGCTACAAGGAACCACTTTAGTTACAGAGGAGCCAAGATCAATATCCAAGCTTATTTTTTATTCCCAAATTCGGGAAGCATACTCAGAGAAACAATGGTCTCTAACTCAAGTGGAACAACACAGGCTTATTCAGGCTTACTCAGACGCATCAGACAACTTTTATCAATCAGATGACTCTTTTTACACGGACGGCTTTCTGGGGCATGCAACTGAAATAGATCGTCGTGTCCCTATCTCAACGCCGACAGAAATTACGAAATCAAAATTCAACAGAGCTATTTGCAGCAAGTCCCAGTTTGTGACCTCAGAAAATTGCCTGCCAACGAAAAACTTGAACACTCAACTCAAAATCTATAGGAAATCTCACAAGAATAAAAGGCGTCACCGCATCACGACAAAGTCTCAGTCTAGAGATTTTCCTTGGGTCTAGTTGGTTCATGCTTTTCTTTCATTGTACCGTTTTTACTTACTTTCTTTTATTTCCTATTTGCATTGTAATGTTTACGTCTTTCAATAAAATTCACTTTCCCTAAAGAAACATTAAAGCAAGTTAAAGAAAAAATAAAGAAAACAAAGAACTAAAAAAAGAAAACAACAAAAACAATAAAAAATGAAAAGCCACCAAAAAGTGAAAAGCAAGAAACAGAAGTGAAAAGCAACGAAAAAAAAGAGAAAACAAAAAAATAGAGTAAAGCCGTAACAACCATCAGCGAAAAAAGAAGGGAAATCAGCGGAAGAGCAGTGATAAGCGTTATATTAACGTGTTTTATACAATCATTTATAAACGCTTTATACTTAAAAGAATTAAATCCTCTCACATATGCCTTGTTTTGCAAGAAGTACTTTATTCAACGATTGGACCAAATACGAGGATGATAGAATACACACAAAGAAATCTGACAGGAAAGAGGTCAACCCAATGCATCCTGAGGAACAAACGAAGTCCATGAAAATGCACAAGGGAAGCAAAAAGTGCCCGGCTCTTGCAAAGGCTAACTGGCTTTTGCCTACCATGCCTATTTTCGCGTCCAAAGCTGAAGAAAAGTGCCCAGAGCAGCCAAAGGCGAATTTTGCCCGGCTTTCGTGAAAGGCAGTCGCCCGGCTTTTGGCAGAAACTGGCCGGCAATTGTTCAAAAGCCAAAAGGCGCCCGACTTTTGGTAAAAGGCGTCCGACATTCATCTGTATGAGATTAAAACAACAACGGTCATCACAATCATTCAGAGAAAACACCAAAATTCATTAAGGAGCTCGCTTCCTTATCTAAAAATGGCCGTTGATGACTTAATATCTAAGTGTTTTGAAGCCCTCTCAACACAACATTCCAAATTCTACACAAGTTAGTTCCACTTTAGCATCTCAAGAGAAACCCCTTGGTCTTGGGAGGAGTTCTTCATTTGGAGATTCCATTGTCCACCCTAGATTTGGAGTTGTGGTATTAATTTCTTATGTATTTCATTGTATTTTATCATTTCAATACTTGAAATTTTATTATGAATTGTTCTAGCTAATTTTCCATAGCTAAGGTTAGGGATGAAACTTTACGCACTTTGGGTGTTTGATGTATGTTCTCAACCAACTTATTATGATCTTTCCTTTAAATTTTAATGTGTATGACTACGGTGTACAACATATGATTATATCGTTGGGTTTATTTGAGCAATTACCATTGAGTTATAAACCGTGGACTTAAGGGTTAGACATATTTTAATTGTGCATAGAAATATACCTCAATTGAACATGGTGGTTTTATAATGTCTTAGTCTTCAATGTGATTAATTTTAGATGAATGTGAACCGTGATGGGATTCACACGTAGAATGAATCACAATCTCGTTGCCGTAAAATGAGTTAGAATATTTTAGCAACACTCCACTCATAAGAATGGGGGAAAGAACACACACACACACACACACATATATATATATATATATTCATCGCTAGGAGTCATTTAGGAGTAATCCCGAACCCTTGGTTGCCTTTACTATCACTTTAAAATAAAAAATCTATACTCTTTTACTAGGTCTTTTACCAGAAAACTATTCTTGATTTTGAATCATATAAACAACATTTCCTCGTGTTCGACTCGGTATTTTTACCGGTTTTTATTACTACATTGGCACTTGTACACTTGCAAGTTTTAGTCGATCAAGCAGCGGGGGAAAGAAAAGAAGCAGCGGCCATCAACCTAATTTTCACCCTACAACTTGAATTTAATTACAAAAAAAAACCGGATGTACCATGCCCTAGGTACAACTGGCTATACTGTATATATTGCCCACTGGGGAGTATGAAGTCATATGATGACGTTTGCGGAGCATTTGATGTTGCAGTTACCATTAGCACCCGCTTGTGACTGCGACAACATGTGGAACATTATATGTCAATTTTATGTACGGCTCATGATTGTTAAGAAAAACACGATTGAGATCGGTTGCTATGATTAACTTGTACCACATTTTGGGAACTTCATGACTTTGTTAAATGTACAAAGTTCTACATTAAGTTTGTTGTAATGTAATCTAAATAGTATTTAATTTTAGGGAAAAGTACGGAAAATGTACTTGTGGTTGGGCCCATATTCAGATAGGGTCATGTGTTTCATTCTTTATCAAAGTGGTTCATGTGTTTGAATTCCGTCATCACAAGAGGGTCACACCGTTAAAAACGTCTGAAAAAGACCGTTAAAAGTAACTCCGATTTTCAAAAGTGCCCAAAAAATTAAAAGAAAAATACCGGAAGGTGCGCCTCAATAAGATGTCCGCTAGGCCATCTTTCTTTTTTCTTTTCAACCACCTTTGTCACCGGAAAGTCCACTGGAAAAGTGATATTAACGAAATCATTTTTAAAAAATAATTCAAACAGATCTGAAAAATCCAAAGGCGAAGGTAGTTTGGAGGTCATCTTGATGAGGCGTACCTTTCGGTATTTTTCTTTTCATTTTCCGGGCACTATTGAAAATCGGAGTTACTTTTAACGATTTTTTCAGACGTTTTTAACGGCGTGACCCTCTTGTGATAACGAAATTCAAACACATGAACCACTTTGATAAAGAATGAAACACATGACCCTATCTGAAAATGTGTCCAACCACAAGTACCTTTTCTGTACTTTTCCATTAATTTTATACTTGTGTGACTCAAAGACAATCTCGATTACTTTTTTTTAAACCAAGAAATTTTTATTAAGGAGTAAATGAGAGTAGAGAGAGCAAAAGAAAGGGAAAAAAGGGGAAAGTAAAATGAAAAAAGAAAAAAAAATAGGAAGACAAAGAGAAAAGTCATGCCCTAAGAACCAAATAATAAAATTCCTGTAACGCAGTGATTCCATCAAATCTTCATAAACCCATCCATGTGATTGAGATCTCGTCCTCATGTGGTGCGATCGCTGATATGTTTTCCCATAAATGTTCGTTTGGGTGTTGAGAATCTATGTAGGCATAGTTTTCCTTTATGACTAGGCCGGCCTTATGAAAAATGTCTTGGTTTGTGTCCAAGTCCATAGATTCTCAACCGCTGAAATGAGAGCTCTCTTCTTGCTCTCTAAAGCATGACAAAAAAGATAATCTTCCGAATACGATAAAATCTTCTCAGAAAACCCATCATCACAATGGAACCTACTTAGCACTTGTTACCTTGGAAAGCATCTCTCAAAAAATGGACTTCTAGGTTTACACTCTCTTTAGTCAATAGCTTTCTCATTTTCTACAGCAGGTCTCACATCAAAAGAGTTTCGGTTACCCATTGATGCAAGCATTTTGTCAACTTCTTTGATTAAAAAATTGAGAAAGTGAATTTTACTCCATTAGTCATACAAATTTGAATGGAATCCATAACGGAGTCAATTTTTTTTGATAAAATGCTCAGAATTACACAGGTCGTTTCTAGAATGCAACACCGGAGTTTCCTCAACACAGACACAATGTTCAATACAAGCTTAACAAAATGATCCTGAAAGAGATGATACATTCTTATAGGAGAAATTCTGTAACGCCAAACCTGGACCGACCGGTCAACCCAGACAACGTGTCACTTGACAGAAAACCAGAACGCATTTAATTAAAATACGTTTTGTGATTCAGAAAAATCAACCATTTTTCCTCACTTAAAACGTTTATAAAAAGATATTTTAGGAGTTAAAATTAAGCGTATTAATTCAGACACAACTTAACTATTTAATATCTGAAAATGTCAAACTCGCAATAAGTAGAATGTTATAAAAACAAACATAACGTAAACATCACGGAGTACTTTTAAGACTGCAATGGAAATTCTTAGAAATTAAAGATGACATTATAAAGCCCTTAACAAAACACCAAATAAACATGACATGCAAATGAGTATTAAGCCTCCTTCTATATCCCAGTGCTCCTAGCAAAATCCGCGCTTAACATATGGGTAGGAAAAACAAAGAAGCACCCGCTCAGCAATGTGCTGAGTGGTACGACATTAACATAACAAGAATATTTACATATCAAATCAGATATCAACATATCATAATTCACATATGATCTGACAAACATGTAACATACCTGGGTGAACCGAGCAACTCTTATAAAAATACAATTATTTATATACAAAACATAAACATACTTGGATATCATTAATATCAGATTGAGAGAATCGGGGGGGGGGGGGGGGGGGGGGGGATGACTAAGAAATAAGAGATACAGAGTGTAATAGGAGATCCAATTTTCTTTTCTCTTCTCTTTTATTTTTGTATCCTCCTCCTTATTCTTTTTCACGCTTAGCGGGTACTTGTTTGTTTTTCCTACCCATAGGTTAAATGCGGAATCTGCTAGGAGGACTGGGATATAGAAGGAGGCTTAATACTCATTTGCATGTCATGTTTATTTGGTGTTTTGTTTGGGGCTTTAAAATGTCAATCTTTAATTTCTAAGAATTTTCGTTGCATTCTTCGTGATATGTTAACTTATGTTTGTTTTAATAACATTCTACTTATTGCGAGTTTGACATTTTCGGGTATTAAATAGTTAAGCTGTGTTTGAATTAATAGGCTTAATTTTAACTCCTAAAATATCTTTTTATAAATGTTTTAAGTGAGGAAAAAATGCTTGATTTTCCTGAATCACAAAAAGTATTTTAATTAAATGCGTTCTGGTTTTCTGTCAAGTGACGTGTTGCCTGGGTCGACCGGTCGGTCTAGGTGGGGCTTACAAAATTTCTCCTATAAGAATGTATCATCTATTTCAGGATCATTGTGTTAAGCTGGTATTGAACATTGTGTCTGTGTTGAGGAATCTCCGGTGTTACATTCTAGAGAAGACCTATGTAATTCTGAGCTTATATAAACAAAAATTGGCTCCCTTATGGACTCCATTCAAATTTGTATGACTAATGGGGTGAATTCACTTTCTCATTTTTTTTAATCAAAGAATTTGAGAAAATGCTTGCATCGATGGGCAACCGAATCAGGGACACAAAGGAAGAAGGAAATAAAAACGAGGGAAAATGAAAAAAAAAAAAAAGCACAAAAAACGTAAGTGGCATCCGCATCATCAATACAAAGAGACTCTTGATTGTTTACCGGTTAAATGGCAAAATTGGTGAAAATTTAACGCTTAATAGACTTAATTATTAAAAAGGAGTACAAAACTCAATTAACCTTTTGGAAATAGTGTGTGGATTGATTTGACAATTTTCTCATTTTTATGTAATTTTGAATGGATACCATATTTCCACAAATTACACCCCAAAAATGCAGCTTTGGCATCTATGGCAGCAAATTTCTCAACTGCAAGGTGAGTCGAAGGGGCATCGAGAAAAATTCAGAGAAAATCAATGTCATCATCGACATGGTATCCCATCATAACATCAATGATGTGCAACTTTGGATTGTTCTCTTAACCACCATTAATTGTTTCCTCTATTAACCACCATCATGAGGAAGACACATAGGTTTTTAATGGACTATCTGAGTGCTAGTAAGCTCTTGAGAAACTCAAGTGGAATCTCACCTCATT